TAAGTGTAAGAATAAAATGTAGAATTAAAAATCTCAGTTTCCTTTCATCTTGGAAGAAATATTCTCATTCGGTAATTTAATTCACTCTTAAATGTAACTTTAGAAATTTAAAAAAAAAAAAAAAAAAAAAAAGTACGCAATAATTTAAACAGGTGCTACCAAACTCTGCAGAGGAATTCGGCTGGCTGTGTATTTTGAGTGCCTTCTTGTCGCACAGACACTGTATGCTTACAAATATCCATCGCTTTCTCCGAGATTCGAGCCTAACTCGCTGCCATAACTAGGGGTTATGGACCCTTAGATACGGCAGCGCAATTGCGGCCTGACAGCTAGTAGTTAACTCCCGCTGGATTGGTAACCAATTCTGCATGGAAGTTTCAAGTGTACTTGGGTCGGCAGCGAACTCAGCGGTTTACTGTCACTAACCACTATTCCTTCTGGGCGGCCAATAATTTAAAAATGACACGCATTAAAACTTATAATTATTAAGGATATATGTAGAGTAATAATTGTTACATGTTACTAGATACAAAATTAATTGCATTTAAAATAGGAAGAGACTCGTGCCACTATAAAATTTTAAATTAGGCAAAAAGGAATGGCATAGAATATAAAACTTTTTTGTTCCTGAAAAATAGGGACTTGAGGGATTTTTGTCTGGTCGCCTTTGTAGTCAGTGGAGTTTTAATTAAAATTTAGGTGCGAACTACGGTTGCTTTTTCTTTGAGGGGGGAGTAATTTTAATGGTACTTTCTTTAGATCTTTATTTTTTTTCCGCAAAATCATTTGTAATATCATCATGATCTAATCTGGCTATTACACCACCTTATAGTTATAGTAAAGCTTGTGAGAAGAGTACAGAACGTGTAAGTGAACTTGCATTAAGATATATGAAGTCTCTTGAATTAATTTGTATAAAGTGATAATGGAAGCTATAACTTATCAAGTTGTAATAAAATGTTTCTCATTCCATTATAACGTGATGTAGAAAATACTACCATAAGCTGTCTGTGCAGTTGTGGAAGTGCTTGTGATGCGAAGTTTGTTGCGTTCTTTATCGGCAATCTCCCCCCCCCCATGATATAGAGGTTCGATAGATGGTGGTGCGAGCTCATCTGTGAAATCATAATGTAGATCAGACAGAATTTGGAAATTCGTTTGTGTTTTTTGGTATGCATATATCGGTCCCTGTGGTACTTGTCTTCTCATAAACTCCCGAAATGTATCGTGCGTTTTGCCCCATTGTTATTACAATAAAAGCATTTTCATATTCTTAATGTGGTCTTCTCTTTTTGTAAGGTTAGATAGAGTATGTGTACAAAACGTATAGTATAGTCATTGGCTGCTATGATTATTACCGGTCACCATTAGTAAAATTTTATCATTGAGTCGAGAAGATCACATGACTTCCTCAGCGCTTCATTTTTCATGAAAATTTTTCTTTGTGCAGATTGCCATTTTCGAAACAAAGTGGGTTCTACACCGCAATGTTATCCGATGAATATCGTGGAATCACGTATCAAAGCAGCCCAGAAAAGCGCAGAGAATAATCTGCACGCAAAGAAAGTTATACTGTAAACCAGCTAAGGACGTCATGTAAAATGAGTTCTGCTGTGAAATCTAAATGTTGTTTCTGTTAAGTATTGCTCACAGCTGCCAAACTGAAGGAAGCAATCGACAGAAAGAGGCCAGATCTGAACAATAGAAAGAACACTATGCCACACCGCACATTTCTGTAGATAATTCTAAGAAATTGTTGAAACTTGGTTGACATATTTTAGTCCATTCGTGGTAAAAGTTCGGACTAAGCGAGTTTAAACTAAGCTTTGCAGAGCTTTTTTAATGGTGCATGTTTTCCAGATTTGAACTCCTGCCAGAATTATTTGGGTCGGGTTTTAATCTTTGGAATTCTGCGATCTTTCAGCTACAGCAAAAATTGAAGTTATTGATCAAAATGACGCGTACTTTACTTGATAAAGTGCATTTCTGAATTTTGAAATCAGTGATCATACAAACAGGCCCCTCCAAAAAATAAGAACCAATATGTGTTATACCCTAATAAAATAACGCTCGTGTTACTTAACATGTATTGTTATGCCAAGCAAATTTTGTGTAAATCTTTCAGATGTATTTTTATGACATTTTCAATTTGTAATGTTTTTTATAATTTAATCATGTCGTTACATCGGAAAGTTCTTGTACAAGTCTTAGTTTTTTCTGTGGACGTTACTTATGAATAAATATTTTAATGCATAGTATCGCAAATAAAAATCTCTGACTATTTATTTTTATTTAATTTAAATTATGCTAGATTCCATATGCATGGATTCAAAACGAAATGCAAATATAAGCACGCAAAAAAGTGACCTTGTTAAACGGTTATTTTTTGTGGAGAAAGTTTTGAAAGATGGTATTTTTAATTACCCAGTCGGTTATGAGATTACCACTAATATTTGTGGCTAAATTAAGTAGATACACAGTCCAGTCACATTAATGTGACCATCTGTCAAAAGCCAGAATAACCACCTTTCGCAGAGCGGACTGCTGCGAGACGTGCAGGAAGAGAGTCACATAGGTCCCTGAAGGTGTTCTCTGGGATGTTGAGCCATGCCGACTCTAATGCCGTGGCCAGCTGCGCTAGATTACGCGGTTGAGGATCCATGGCGCGAACAACTCGATCGAGATGGTCCCACAGATGCTCGATTGGGTTTAAGTCAGGTGAGTTTGCTGGCCAGGGGAGGACGGTAAACTCATCCTGGTGTTCTTCGAACCACGCACGTACACTGGCAGCTGTATGGCACCTCGCATTGTCCTGCTGGAAGATGCCATCATCCTGAGGAAAAACAATGCGCATGTAGGGGTGAACATGGTCCGCAAGGACAGATGCGTACTTGTATTGATCCATTGTGCCTTCCACAATGATCAGTGAACCTAGAGAATGCCAGGAAAACATTCCCCAGACCATAATGCTCCCGCCTCCAGCTTGGACCGTTCCGGCAATGGTTGCAGGGTGGTTCCTTTCAGAGGTTTCACGCCTTATACGCCAACGTCCATCTGTCCGATGGAGCATAAAACGCGATTCATCCGAAAACGCAACCTGTCGCCACTCAGTGGACGTCCAGCTGCTGTACTGGCGTGCAAATTCTAGCCTTCTTCGCCGTCGATGAACAGCAGTCAGCATAGGTGCACGAACCAGGCGTCTGCTTCGGAGGCCCAGACGCAGCAATGTTCGCTGAATAGTACTTTGGAAGACACTTTTGGTAGCCCCCTTGGTTCATTTTGGTGGTCAGTTGCTCAACGGTAGCCCGTCTATCTGCCCGAACGCATCTCCGCAACCGTCGTTCGCCTCTGTCATCTATGGCCCGTGGTGCACCACATTTGCCACGTCGCTGATTTTGGACAGTCCCATTTTGCCATGCACGGTACACTTTTACCACGGCGGCACGCGAACAGTTCACAAACTCAGCCGTTTCGGAAATGCTTCCACCCTTGGCCCGAAAGCCAACGATCATGCCCTTTTGGAAGTCGGATAAATCGCTTCGTTTCTGCATTACGCCAACGATTGAAATGCCCTCACACACCCTTTATATACGCTCAACTGCACTGTGCTGCCACCTGCCTTCTGTGATTGGTTATTTAACTCTGACATGGAAAGTACGTGGTGGTCACATTAATGTGACTGGACTGTGTATTTCCTAATGTGTTCTTCAGAATCCCTTGAATTCGGCTTCTTTTGTACTTGGATTCACGTTTCCAAAACATTAAAAATTTTTGTTTGTTTGTATTGGATATATTTTATCATTTTTAGGTTAATAAAAGTGAGTTTCATGAAGTTTGAGTCATAGCAGATGATATTAAATTCTTCCTTTAGAACGTTTAATATTGCTTCAGATATAATGCTTTTTATTTTCGTTTCTTCATTAAAATATATCTTAATCTATCGTAATCTCGTAATGCAAGGCTTAAAATCTTGTTAATATAAAAGCAAGTCAAATCAGAGTCATCCAAGATAATGTTTCCACTTTCATTTCGCTCAACTTTATTTTGCCATAAAAAACATGTTGTTTTAGATGAAGATAGTGCTGTTGTCAAAACTTCTGATAATCAAGAGTTTTCAGCTGGAGTATTTTTCTTACTTCATCAGTTCCATCTTTAACGCAAATTTACGGCGGCGAAAAAAAAGTTGCGTTAACTACGTCGCGAGCGTACTCGTGTGGGCAGGCTTCAACACCTTCAGTTTACCGTGTTAAACATCAAATGGTTTCCTTCCTTATTTGCAACACAAAGTAAAGGAGGTAAAAAAAGTAAAATAAAGGAAATCGGTAACCATCTTTAATCTGTCCCAAGCTACTGACAGTAAAAGGAAGGAGTTCAAGCGTAAACTTAACCACTTTAAATGGTTCCGATTATTTTGCTTGATCGAATCCTAGATTGGGTGCCATCGGCCCGTGAGTCAAAATGTACATTAGTAATTATTTGTTTTTAGTTAAAGAGCATCATTTTGTTGTGCTTTTTTTTTTTTATAGTGCTGAACATACTGCAGTTCATGAGTTTTGTAAACGAAATTAAGACTGTTTATTATAAATAATCAATTATGTATAAAAATGAATTAAGGCTATATTTCTAGTACCTGGCACAATATGCGCTGATATCGTAATTCTGTTGACGTTAGAAACTTTAAAGTAGAGTGTCCAAAATTTTTGGACTATTACGTTGCGCTACTATAAATAAGTTTTGTCTTTCTGTCTAGAGGGCAAATCGATATTCCACCTGATTTTGTCTTGATTAAATATTGCAGACTTCGTTGAATAATATAGTTATCATTTTTTTTTCTACTTGAGGTAATAATTATTAAAGATATTGTCTGTGAATAAGGTGTGGTGATGGCGATAAGGAGCGCGCCTTGCGCCCTCCGATAAGTGTGGCAACCCTAGAGGAGAAGTTTCTTACGAGTAGCGAGCAGAGCGAAACAGGGCAGGCTGTCGGGGAGTATGCGCGAAGTTCCTAAATAAAGCTTAATTTTTATTGTGCACTATGTCTTGTTAATATTATATTAATGCAGTAAGAACATAATCTGTGATATGGAATTCGAGGATTGGTGGTAAAAACATAACCGGAAATCTCCATAAAGGGAAAGAAATTCCATGTATTTTTGGATTTCATATCAACGTGAGAAGTTAGATGTCTTGGACTGTTTATTTTAATTTCTTAATTTCCTCGAATATTTATTTATTTCGAGAAGGTGGTTAGCTTGGCTATTGTTTACGGTTATGACGCAATCTAGTGAACTGAATTTCAAGTATTTTGTGATTGTGAAAAGGGATGTGTAGGTGCCATTTGTTGTGGATGATGGAAGTGGACCAGTCGGCAGAATATCTTTAAATTTCATAGTCGCGTATCGTATGGTGCTAAACTAAACAACATTCATCACGTATTCGAATAATGGATACTTTTCTTTACTGAGAGCTCTGTACGTACCAATAATTATTTACTCATTTGTTTTTTAGAGCAGCCAACTTGATATAGTTATATTTTTTATTACTGTAACGGAAGTTCGCCGATTATTTTGAAAGGAATTGTGATGTCATTATTTCCATAACTGTTTCGTTTCTTTACATAATTTCAGTATTATTTATGGCATTGTCGAAGAATGTGAAATGCGAAAATATCCTGTTTCTCTTATGCTCAGTTATAAAGAATGTGAAATCTGCATGGGCAAAACATAACACGTTTTCATGCTTACAAATTTAAATTCTCAGAAATGCTTGCTTTAAATGCTTAATAAAGTTAAATTATTAGGTGAAGATTTTGATGTGTTATTTAAATTAACAGTGATTTTATATGCAAAAATGATTGTTTGCAATACATGACAGATTTAAATTAACTATGATTTATATGTAGAAATCGTTATTCAAAATATAAAATATAAACTTTATGTTTTGTTAAGTTTTCTAAGTTGATATGACTTTTAATCTTGCACTCATCTGCTAAACAATTATTCCTTAAAAAATATGCTTTTTACTTTAGTGATGGAATTAAGGTGAAATAATTCTTACATGTTTATTTTACATTTGTTGGATTATATTTAATAAATTTTAAGTTACTATCAGTGACTTATTTTCCTTTACATATAATTATTGACTTAAAAGATATTTTCTTTTACATATAATTATTGACTTAAAAGAGATTTTCTTTTATTTTTAGAGGTTGGAGTGGTATTCAAATGATGAAGATGTAAAAATGTGTACCATGAAAGGAAAATCTGAAGTGAGCAACATTTTTCATTTATTTTCAGTTCTCTGCATTTTTCCTATTCTAGAAATGTGAAGAATTGGATTTCATTGCTCAAACTTAGATCTGAATGGGTCTTTTTTAAGTATTCTTTTCACAGATACCTACTGTTTCAATAAATTGTACAAATTTTTATTTTCCGAAATAACGTAAATAGCTGTATATGTAAGGAAAATATGCCATCTGAATTTTAAATGTAGGTAAATTTATGTCATATATTTTGTAGAAAAGCTATGAATTTCAAGGCATAGATTTTCTTCTGCGGAGAACAAAAATATTCCATGCCATTTTTTGCTAGTAAAATATAATTTAAATAGACAAAAAATGAAATAAATGAAAGAAAGAACAACCAGGTCTTCTTCTCTACATATATCTTCTTTTTAGAAAGAAAAACAAAAAAAGTAAATTTACTTGTGACTTGCTTTTTTCCTTACAAATAAAATAATGTAAAAATTACTTTTCCTTTTAGGTATCACAAAATGAATTCTAGAAGTTAATTCATGTTTGTTATCTGCATGCAAAATTTTTCTTTCATTTTGAAACTCACCGGTGGTAAATTGCTTAAATGTCCAACTGCTCTTAACTTTATTTATCATTTGAATTTCTCGTGGAAATTTTTCGTGGAAAAAAAACTTTTTTTAAAAAATGCTTTGTATAATTTTCTTTTAATGAAACCTTCTACAGCACTGTCCCTTTATGACAGGTTACTCTTGTATATGTTTTTTCAGTCATTTACTTACTCTCATTTTGCAAATCAGGTATTCATAGTTTCGAAATTGACTTTAATGGGATTGTCCTGCTTCTAAAAATTAAATGTAGGCCTACTCTCTCTTCTTTTTAATGAAAACATTTCATAAAAGTAATGGTATTCTGTATTATGTAAATTTTTTGCCATTTATTTGTTATACTTTTATTTTTGAATATCATTTTTCTAATTCATAATAATTTAAAAACATTGCAGGAAGAATGCCAAAATTATATTCGTGTTTTAGCTAGAAAATCTGAAGATACGATTCTTGTATGTGGTACAAATGCCTTTAAGCCCCTTTGTCGAGTCTATATACTGGTAAGATTTTAAGCTATTTTATATTTTTTGTATTGAGCTCAGTATTCTTTTGTAATTAACGTTCTTTTCTGAAGATATTATATTCTATTCAGCTACATATAGCTGAAGCCAATACATTTTTTTAAAGGGAAGAAGGAGATAAGAGGGAAATAGTCTGTTACAGCTCAAAAATGTTCTCATTAAATTTTTATTACTTTTAGCTTTAACCAAGAGCTAGTTCAAAATAAAGAACATCATTTAATTGGTTTTGAAACTAATTGTTGGAAAATTAGGTTGTCTAAGTTATTAATCATTTGATGGTCTATTAGATACAATGGCTATATTAATGTGTATGTTTTTTTTTTTTTCTTATTTTCTATTTTGTAAGTAAATGCAAAATATGCTTATTTTTTAATGAGTACTCACATCTGATTTTTTCACATAGCAGCTTATAAAAATTAATAAAGTAGAATATTCTTTAAAATATTTAATTTTTTAACAGTAAATGTAGTCATTTACAAGTGTGGAACTGTTGCATGTTATGTCGCCAGCTGTGCAATACATTTTTTAAAAAATAATGCAACTGTAAATTTTGAAGTGTTATGCCTATGTCCAGATGTTCAACATTAAAAATTTATCTGGATGTACATCTGTAAATATTATTACACAATTATAAAGTATTCAAACAGAAACTTCATTAAGAATAGGATATTTCTGTTGTATTAAATATATGTTGTTAACTTTTAGGATGCTGATTATAGCCAGAAAGGTGAAAAATCTGGAGAAGGTCTTTGTCCATATGATCCTACACACAACAGCACAGCCATATTTGCAGGTATATTGTTAAAATACCATTATTGTTTCATGTATTATAAAAGTATACTATATTATTCTGATCATCTAAATATCATTTTTGCTTTGTGTAATATTTGGAAATGGTAATTGGTTATTAAGTAACAAAAATCTTTTAAAAAAATTATTTGTAGTTAAGGTAAGAGCCATTTTGTTTTAGACATTCACACACGTATAAATTTTGTCTTTTTTTTCTGTAAGATTTGCTATCTGTCTTTAATATTTTGCTTGAATTGATAACATTAGGAAAAGTGTCTGACTTTCTGCTTTGTACCTTTGTGTAATGCCACTGTAATGTGCTGTGATGCTGTATCGTAAGGGCAGTCTTTGTTGAAAATTACTTAATAAAAATATATTACTGCATACAACATTTGACAAGATGGTAGAATAAAATAAATATTTAGATATGAAGTGACTTAATTGCTTATTTTAACAATTGAGACAATTTTAATCCTTTTTTGGTTGAAAACATTATATTTTTCCTGAATATTAAGATATATTAATATACTCCTTTTTTCTTATTTCATACCATTATATTCTGTTGGTACCTTCTCTTTTAAAGTGGCCACTGTGATTAGTTGCCAAAATGGGCAAATGTATCTTGAAATCGCATATCAGAAGCATTAAAATATGTTAATGAAATTTCTTACCATTCTGTAATGGACCAGATCCACATTATTTATATGTATAAACCTGCAGAAATAAAATATGGGAATCCCTCTTTTAACACGGTTTTAATTATTTCAGCCTATTTTCACTGAACACAGTATTTTTATAGAAGTTACAGGTCACAATCAAGCAGTGTATATTTTCTGATTTGTATGCTAGTTCTCAAGCAGTATCTACATATGCCTTCATCAGGCCTGTTATTTTGATTGTAATTAATTTAATGATTATGTTTGGCTTAGTGAGCAGCTTGTCATAACTGTTCATGAAATTGCAGCTGCTGGACTTGAACTAGATTCAGATAATATTCTGGAAATGAACTTGCATCTAGGGCCCAGTTAAAGCAGTAGAAATAGAGAAAAATTGGTTAAAATGGTTTGTCTAAGTACAGAATTCTTTCAAGGCCCTTCATTGCCTACTTTACTGGATTTTATGAGGACAAAGAACATTATGAGGAATTGCATGCTGATTTTGCATCCTTAGCTTGGGGCTATTTAAGCTGTAATCAGGTCTTAGTTACATCATTGATATTTGAGTAATTGTAACTCTGTAATATTGTTTAAGAACAAGCATATGACTACCGATGAAGTAAATTCATCAGAATCAAAATGTACATGGAGGAATTGCAAGAAATATTGCAAACTGCTGAATAGCTAGAAATACAAGTTATGGAGTCAGATTCAATTTGAAAAAGAAGTTTGTAAGTTTGGTTAAGGATTGATAATGCACTGAGATATTATAAAAGAACTGATAAAGAGAAAAGGAAACAAAAGAGTGTTTAAATTTCTTCAGCTGTTTTTTAATCCAAAAAATCACAGCTAAAAAAGCATAGATTTTGACTGTGTAATAAAAGCATTCTAATTTTTTTATTTAAATGTTATATAAATAGTGAGAGAGGAATATGGAAGGGGATGGTAAAAAATAGTTGGATGAACACATATTTATATATTCAGGTAGTATGATCGCATTAATAACCATGTCAAGTAAGGAATTTCTGTGTTATATTGTAAGGGGAAATTTTTAAAAAGTGAGGAAAAAAAATGCTTGTCATAGGAAGAAGCTGTAAGACTTATACTGATAATTAGTTCAGGTGAATACTTCAATATGATACAGAGCTGTTCTTTTCTCCCAGTCTTTTTTCATCATCATTGTAAAATTTTTCTTCCCCAAATTAATTTCATTAATTAGCTAATTTTGTTTTATTGCTGCCATTTATCACTTTTTTTGGCTTTTTTTTCCAGCATTGTTTTGTTATTTTTACTTTCAAAATATTTTCTCTTCCCTATAAATGGCCTTACTTGCAGTATCTATGAATTCTGTTTGAATAGGGACAAAATATTTTTTGAACTTGTTGAAAAAAACAAATTGAATGAGGCAGTTCTTTTAGCTTTGCATGTACATTTTTTGATAATTTTCAAAACATGTTTTTAATCATTGGTAACTTCTAGCATATGTGGATGCATGCTTGCATATATATATATATATATATATATATATATGTATATGTATATATATACACACACAAGTACTCACAGACATGCATAAACAGTAAAAACTCAACTTTCCTGAAAGTTTGGGAACTGAATACTGGATATGTGGAAATTCTGGATAGTTGAGCATATAAAAAAATGCGATTCATAGTAGAAAAGCCAGATAAATGGAAGAGAAAATATCTGGTTTAAAATTAAAAAGCAGCCATCTTCTTTGTTACTAATTTGAATATCAAAAGCCTGAATTTCAATATTATATGACATTTGAGGGGGGGAAATGCATTTCAAACACAAAGCTGATGTATTTTCACAGGCCCTAAACATAAAACATCTTATCCAGTTATGAAATCATGTTGACTAAGTGGCATAGATTCCATCAAAATTGCAGCAATCATTCCAGCAGTTTGAAAGACCTGATCACTCTTCATTTAGGTAGAATCTACAGAGACAAGTTATGGGTACAGCATATAAAAAACTTAAATCACATGTTGCAATTTTCACATTGTATTGCCTTTGTTAATCAGTTTTTAAATAAAGTCACATATCGTACACATTTATATACTATTTTCTGGATACCAGGATCCTGCAATTCTGTAAATACTCCACTGCATGGTGTTTCATTTAATACAGGTTCCAAATTTTAATCTTTTTTTTTTTTTTTTTTTTTTTTTTAAATGGGCAGGGGGAAAAGGAAGGTTGCAAAATAGGGAGGGGGAAGATAGAATGCAGTAAACTTAATCCTTTTTTATGAAAAATAAGTAGCTTATCAAAAATTAATGGGTTGAATGTGATGCCAAAGCAAAGATCTTTTGACTGCATTGGGGTGTTATGCTTATTCATTATTGGCCGCTTATTACACCGCTTAGCAGCAGTTTTTGTTTGTCACGAGTCATAGGCCTACACATGCTTTATAATGGTTTTACAAGCCTGATTTAATTTTTTTTTTTTTTTTTTTTAAAGGAAAAGAGAAAAGAAAAAGTGATTTCTTAAATTTTAGTATCTTCCAGTTACTTGAGAGCTTTCCAGTTAGGTGAATACTGAATTGTCAGGTGCTTGCTCTGTGTGTGTGTGTATCATTATAATATATAAATATATACTTAATTTAAATGTTCTTAATTTATGTTATGAAAAGCTTTTATTGCACAAAACATAAATATGTGTATGCGGCCTTGCATTATATGATATAGGACTACGATATTAAATATTTAAAAAAAATTTTAATCGTTTCACTAAATTCTCTGTATGTTACATGTACTCTCTTGTACAGTGCTTCTTGGTTTATGATATTTCAATTCCTTTTACATATTATCATACTTTGTAATGTATTTGAGAAAAAAAAATACGTTACTAAATTCACTTGTTACTTCATATGTAAAGCTTATTCATTTTTATAAACTTTTATTTAGCTCTCTCTTGAGTTTTATTGCTATGGTAAAAAATTTCTGATCAATTTTTAAACAAGTTCTTAATAAGCTGTTGAATTCATATTTTATGGACATACTTTTTGTGGATAACAATCAGTGTGGTGAAGAATTTTTTAAAATTCAATATTGAAATGATTTTGCACATATATCTTCATTTTAGGAACAAACAAACAATCTCAGAAATTGACTATTTGAATCATGGTATAGAGCAGAAAAAAATCTTTTGTATGAAAGTTTTGATATAATTTTTGGTTTTTAACCAAGTTTTGAAAATCGCTCTATTTTTTTAAAAATTATTTTGACATCCATGATTTTAAAATTTCAATATCTAAAAATGTATTGCTTACAAAGCTTACAAGATTCAAAGATTATGAAACAAACCTTTTGTCCCCCTTTGAACGAGAAACAATATTAATGAATTTTATGTATTTTTTTCAAAAATATGCTACTACCATATGAAATAGAAGGGAACTGATCGGTTCTTGAGTTTCAATGTTGTGATGTAATTACACTTGATTTTCTTCCTTCCGAATAGATTTCTGTAAAATTGAGTTTATTTATTTTTATATATTAATCTCATTGGATTTGCTTCCAATAAGTTGAACTTACTATAGAAGTCTTCTACATTTGATAAAAACTGTCTTCCGTGCTCTTTTTATGGGTAGATTTTGCATTTTCATGTTATTGGTATAAAAAAACAACAGGATTGATTAGGGGGGAAAAAATATTTTGTAAAATTTTGCATGTAAAAAAATTATTTACAATAAAATCTACCATACCACTTTTATTTTGTTTTTCATTTCATAACTTTGTATAATGTATTTTCTCAATATTTCATTTTAAAAGTTGATTTTCTTAATTTTGTTGTGATTTGTAATTTAATCTTTTATGGGACTTTAAAATTCTAACATAAAAAATGTATCAAAGATATGAAATTTTCAGAGGTTATAAAACAAACTCATAACCTTCTTTTAAAAAAATATCATTTAGGTGATATTTTAAGGATCTTTTTTTAAACTAGCCATGTTTTTTATATGCTTTTATGTAACTTATTTATGGTGTGTTTCACTCTGGTCAAAACCTTGCTGTAAAATTTTAAGCTATTCTGTGATAAGTTGTAAAGTTCAAATGTTGCACTTTTACTCATCGCAAATAACAATAAAATGTAGTGCAGTGATTCCCTCCCTAAGTTTTACATATTTAAATAATACATCTTCATTTAATAAGGAAACTAAAACTCTCAACATTTCGCAGTTTGCACCATCAAATAGAGCAGAAAAAATCTTTTAAATGAAATTTATGTAAGATTTTAATGTAATTTCTGATTTTGGAGCAAACTTGCTGGATTTTTTCTGGCTATTTGAATAACAGAATTGCTGAGGAGGCAAGAGTAGTAATAAAACTTAAAATAATTAATGGACTAAAAGAAGAAAAATAATTTAGCATGTAGTTTAATGGAAGCAAGAGACTGAATAATTCTTGTTACAAAACTCATTTATGATTTTATATAATGAATAATAAAAGTATGGGTGCCAAAATGATGAAATCGAATAATTGAACTGTATTATCAGAAATCCTTATTTTTGGAAATTTATCAAGGGCATCCCATGCTTTTACTATACTGATGTAAAATTGTAGCTGAACTTTTTAGAGATAATTGTTCGCATTAAATTATATGATAAATTATTTTTCTCCTTTTAGTTCATTAATGATTTTATGAAGTTTAAATAAAAGTTTATTTTTATAAAAACTTCTTATTTTTTTACTCATTCATTTATTTATGTAAATTTAAATATCTTCGATAATTCAGTAGATTTTTTACCAATTATTATTTGATTGAGTTCTTCACAGCCATTTAACATAATTTAGATTTTCAAATTATGACATTAGTATGCAGAAAACTGTAAAGTTCTAATATGTGTACTGGCTCATATTTGACTTAATATGTGTACTGACTTTTTATCAGGAAAGGCCTATTTTGCTCATAAATAAATGTGAAATTAAATTGCATTTGTTTTCTGCCACTAGATGTGATAAATAATTTATGTTAAAATGCCAGTAGACTAAGCTAATAAGTTCAGTGCATCCTTTTTATAGCAGCCTTGACAAATTAGAGAAAATAGCTTTGGCACAGTCTGAATTTAAGAAAGTTCAATTTGTTAGCAAACATCTTAAACAACCAAAGAAATGAAACTGTCAAGGTCGAGATAATGATAAAATTTCAAATCTATATGTGGTTTGCATTTATTAACAGGTTTCCATGGCTAGAATTTCCAGTATGTTTACTAACTTCAGTTTGCTATTAACAGAAGATAATGTTACACATTTCTTCCAAGATAAAGGTGTTTTACCTTTCAAAAGAAATTTGTGAAAATGATCTTAATGGGCAAAAGTACTCTGAAAAAGAAACCATTTGGAGATGAAGCATGGTGAACTGAATTACTAGTTCAAGAATATCATTCCTAATGGCATTATAGTTCATACATGTTGAAATGAAGAACTAACTGTATTTCGATGGTATTTAATGAAGAAACAGCAGCTAATAGCCTGAAATAGTTATATGTGGAAAGAATGTTCTAAATTTATGACAGATCATTAGATTAGAGAAATCTGAAAGCTGGGTAAGTCATGAAAGCAATCAATCTCCATAAAAAGAAAAAAAAATCTGCATTACTTCTTTGTACGGAATATTAAATTATACACATTTTTCTTGCATTTCATTTAAACTTATTAGATTGAATTAAATCTACTTTGTCGTTAGTGCATAAATCACAACAGAATAAATGCACTCTTTAAAATTCACTATATTTGTTTACCATAGTGACACTCTGGCCCTAGGTTCACTTAACAGTGTTACATTTCATTCATTTTTTAACTCAGAATGCACAAAATTTATATCATTTTAAGAATTATCTAATCGTTGCCACATGTTCTATTCAAATACTATAATAAATGTATAAAATAAATGTATGTAAATGATGTATAAAAGAAATTGAGGAAAGAACAACAACAACAACAACAAAAGAGAAACAGTTTTTCACAGACGATTCAGTATTTCTCATTCAATTAATTCAGTTCTCACTTCGCAACAAGGTAAAAGTACATCAAAACTCAAGATGTCTGTATTGAAAATTATGAAGAAAATCTTAAAACACTTATTTCCTCGAATAAATTCCGATAAAATGGATTTAATTCGCAATAATAAAAGAAGGCGTTATCTTTGTTATCGCGAAGCTTACTTTCTCTAGATTGTCAAAAAATCTACTATTCTGCTGTTTCAAATGTAAACAAGCAATGAGTGCCAATGAAAAAATTATAAGGATTAGCTTCACTTAAACAACTTTTAAATTGTTGATAATTCTAAAAATATTGCATACAGATTTACTAAAGGCATAAAAACCTTAACCGGAAGATAAGAGCAACATAATTCAATAATTTTTATTAATTAATTAAGCAAAAAATGCACAATTTACAAACATATAAGAATAAAGAAAAAGAGATCACTGAGCTGAGTAACAGTGAATATATATATATATATATATATATACATATTTTATATACTTTTTGGAGCGGCCGATTGCAACCAAAATACAAAGTGCACATCTACATGTTATAGCAGTCCTATATACAAAATTTCAACGTTCTGAGGCTACTTGATTTTCAGTTATGCGAGATACGTACGTACGCACAGACGCCACAAAAAATTCTCTTCAGAATTTATTTTAAATTAGTTTTACAATTTTTTGGGGGGAAAGAGTCCTTTATCCTGTCCTTACGTACAGATGTCATGCAAAAACATGATTAAATTGCATTCGATAGCGGTGAAAATGGATATTTGCTTTGAAATATGATGCCTGAATTTTTTCGCGATTACAATACTTCCTTTTTGCTTCATACAAGGAAGTAAAAAAAAAAAAAAGGAGTGCTGGGTGAATACAGCCATGGTAGTGGATTTTAGATGATGATTGCTGGTACAAGTGATGCTACTAGTTCATATATTAACTTAAAACTGGAAAAAGCTAGTATCCGTCATGTTGCAGGGGACCATTAGTTCAATTTTGCGGATCCTATGACTGGCATGAAATTCATGAAAGGGTAGAACAAGAAGCATAGAGGTACATCTTGCCATCACCTGAAGTTGTATCTTATGGAATTCTTGTTGAGGTATCATGTTTTAGAATTATTATTTGCAGACGTTGCTGAACTGTGACCTTCTGAAAGTGTTGGTTAAAAATAAATTTTTGGGGTATGTATTTGTACATGTATGAAGTATTATTGCTTATTTATGTGTATATTAAATAGTTTCTGTATGTATATATAATTGTTTAGATATTAAACTTTTTGTGTGTATGGAACATTGAATAGGATGACAAAAAGTGCTTGTGAAAATTGTTCTTGTCTCTTTTTAACTGCTATGAAAAACAAGTACTGTTTAATGACTTTATTTCTAATATGTCATATCTATATACTATGTCACAAAAATATTGTTTCTTTGATAGTTTATTGTATTAATTTAGGACATGATATTCTGCATTAATCAAAGTAGGCTATCAAAACTTTACAGTTCGTGCATTGTAGTACAAATTATTATTATATTCTGTTTATGTTTATACAGTAGAATTCTGATAATTTTGCATATCTTGGAACCATTGTTTGGCACGTTAAAAGTCATACCTTTCTAAGTTTAACTTTTTCCCTTTTTAATTTTTACACTAAATTTGGATTATTTGGGCATTGGGATTATTGGGGCATCTGAAATACATATAATACATTAAGAATTGTTTAACTAAGAAGTAATTAAGCACAGAACTTTTTAAGTATCATATTTACTTGAAATTGAGATCTCCTCAAATATAAAACCTTCTTTACCTTTTATGGGTAAATTTTAAGAAAGTATTGGTGAATATTAATTTTGTCTCGTAGTAATTAAGAAGGATAACATTAGTTAAAATTACTTAAAAAAAAAAAAAAAAAAAAAGAAAAAAAAGAAAAAAAAAAAGAAAAAAATCTCCCTTTTGGTCCCTTTTTATATTTTTTTATTTTCCTTGACAGGACAATTTCTAGAAGTGCTACTTTTAAGAATTTTTCCCCATATGCTGTTGAACAAATAAGCCATCTGTGAGAAGGCTGAACAAGTGCATTTAGCTTGAACTTAACATTTGAAAAGTTGCAGGCAAATAAATTCTTTAATACATAATCATCCCATAAATTTAAATTTTATTTTAAAATAACATGGAATAGATATCCAGAAGTACTTGTTTTTACTTAAGAGGAAAAATTTGTAAAGAGGTTAACTGAAAAAATATGCAGTAACTGTGTAGCTTCAATAATGAAGTAAATTAATTTTTTTATAATCATAATATGCCTGTTTTTATTAAAAGATTTATTTTCACCATGCATAAGAATTTTTTTTATTATGCTAAGTTTACTGATGATCAGAATTTGTTGTATCCAAAATTAGTGTAGATTACAGGCTTTCACTCATTATCAGAATTTACTTTACTTATGCTTTGGATTGTACAACTTAACACAGTGCAACTTAAATACAACTTGTTGTCAGTAATTTTACCTTTATTAAGTTATATTTGTATGCATCAAATAAATGTTATATATAAACCAAGTATAATATTATTGGTAAAGGAAATCCTGTGTGTGTCATTAAAATGTCTTTTAAAAGGTATAAGGCTGGCTGTATGGTTGTTATTCAAATGCAACTGTTTCCTTTTGAAAGTATCATTAACCTAGAAAGCACTGTACATGTAAGTAAGAGACCTTAAAAAAATTGATTTGACTTAAATTTGTGCCATAAATTGTTTGAAAAGCTGTATAGAAGTTTGCAATATGAAAGAAAAGAAAAAATAAATAAACTTAGTAATTGTTAAATTTGTCAGCTGTATTTTTTTGCTTACCAAGTCCTTGTTTCTTTTGCCATGCAATCCATTATAGGACCATTAAAAGAGAGAACAGGTAGTGTAATTATATCCAGAATAGTCTTCTCCCTTGAATCCTATTTTAAGTATTTTGCTGTTCATTTGCATGTCCCAAACTAGAGAAACTTTTAGCAGTTGTTCCTGTAATTAAACATTCCTTTCATTAAAAGCTTCTTCTACCTCATACGGTCTCTCTCTCTCTGTCTCTTTCATTCCAGGGTGACCAGCTACAAGTTATTAATGCCATGTATTAGTAACAAAAACTTTAGCCTTTGTCTTTTTTTATGATATTAAGATATATAGTGTCAAATTTAATTAGTATATGAATTTTTTTTGTTATATATCTAAATGATTTTTGTTTTTTATGTTATCATTTTACTTAAACTTGGGGGTGGGGAAATCCATTTGTGCAATTTTTCTGTTTTAATCATTTACTGTACATCTAAAAGATTCTTGTTTTTAATTATTATTTTACCAAAAATGTAGAAAAAGTCAGTTAAAGGGAAGAAAATAATATATATATATTATATTTTGACAGCTTGCTAATAATAATAATTATGCAATTTATTTTAAAAATGTGATGAAAATATTTGATTTCATAGACTATTTGATGAATGATTCCAAATAAAAAATTATATAACCCTCATAGCACTGCAGATATAGTATTCCTTTCACTTCGATATCAGCTCTTTTCAATGTTGAAACTGCTGAGAAATCCTGTGGTTTAATTTCAAGCTATATAAAAGGATGTTATAAGGCAGTCTTATTGATTTCGGATAGTCCCAGTTTCAAGGGCCCCTGGAGAAGGCATGTTTGTTTGTAAGTGTATAATGCCTATGCAGCAAATTGCAGAATGAACCAATGAACCAGTTCTGTCGAGTAGTTGATAATAGAGGAAGAAGGATGGAAGACCCTTGAACTTGTTTTCTTCATCAAAATTAGGGTATAGCTTAAAATAGTTAGCAAGTTCCAGCAATGCCTAATATTCCTTCTGGAATGTGAAGGTGACATCCTTGTTTCAACCTGTACCTGATTTCAGATAATGCTGCCTAGGCCACAGAGCAACATGTAGCTAAGCATTGTCCAGGAGCAAAAAAGCATTGTTTCTTGAGCAGATTAGTCTTTTCTGTCTTGACCTCATGCAAACACAGGATGTCTGCATTCTAGTCACCATTCATTATCAATCCATGGATTAGAAATTTTGACATCTGAAATGAATTGTGTGCTAAAATATGCTTCTTTTTTATATATAATAAATAAATATACTTTCTCTAGTTTGTTTGTCAATCACTCATGTTCTCATCTTTGAAGGGCTTCCATTTCTAAATACTGAAGCACAGCTAAGCATTTTTTTCACCATATGCATATGTTGTAACATATTACATGTTTCATTATTGATGTTCCTGTATTTTAACTCATAATTCAGTCACATCTCTGCCATATTTCTGTTACTCATTTGCCATAGAATGTGTTAGGTGCTTCCACTCGTTGTGGCTTGCAGGGTATGGCTACTGTTCTGCAATTTCAGAGGCATCTGTATATGATTGCCACAAAACCAGTTACAGGATTGCTACTTATCTTACAGTAGTCACATATTAAGATAATTTTAAATCTCTTTAGTAAGACATTCAGAATATGAATTTATTTTATTTTTCCATAAAAAAAAATTCTGAAAACCTCAATATTTTTTTTTTTTTTTTTTTTTTTTTTTTTTTTAAAGAATAAATTTTTTTGATACATCAAGTATTAATATTTTTTAAATATATCCCTCCGGGTAAGCATAAATATTGGGTATTTTAAATGCAGGAAAGTAAATATAGTTAGTTGGTCACCCTGTGTCACTCTGTACACTGATCTGTTTATAATTATGTATTAATATGGAAACTTTGCACTGCAGAATCTATATTTTCATGGTATTAATTTTCATCCATATGAATGTTTTAAGATTTTGCATCAAAGGTGCTTTGCATTTCATTTTTAGATGGAGATCTGTATGTAGCTACAGTAGCTCAGTTTACAGGAGCTGACCCTTTAATTTACCGACAACCCCTAAGAACTGAACAGTTCAACTGGAAGCACTTAAATGGTAATCTTTATTTTTCATATTATTTTCATACTAATTTTAATATCTAAATAAATTTGTTAGTTCTCAAAATTATCTTTTGCTAACAATGCTGATCTTTTTTTAATTTGTAGCCCCTAATTTTGTGAGTTCTGTGCACCACGATGAATTTGTGTATTTCTTTTTCCGAGAAACGGCAGTAGAATATATTAACTGTGGTAAGGTGAGTAACAGCCCAATTTTAATATAAAATATATATTTCTTATCTTTTGTTTGCAGTTTTTTGGTGCAATACTTTATATTAATTTAAAATGAGTTCAGAAGCTACTTAATACATATCTAATTATTTTTCCTATTTTTTTGGAGTGGAATTAATGTTTACAGAAAAGTAGATCTAATAATTTAAAGTGTTTAAAACTGCTCCACTGTTTACTTCTAAAAATGCTAAAGATTAATATTGCATGTTATTAAGTATGAAAGTTAACTGTTACATCAATTTTTCTATTGTTTTAATAAATGCTTTTCTACAATGAAAGCTAGCCTTTATTTCGTTAGCAGTTGAACAAAAATTAACTAATAATCAATCTCCAGACCTGGTTTTATGAAACTGATTGTATGTAAAATTTGTGATGACCTGTTTTTATGAATTATAGATTTTGTGAATTTGAAAAATGAATATTTGGTTCAAAGCTATTTGGCTTGCTTATGTATGATTTATTAGAACAATATGCAATACATTGTTAAAATCATCGTTTAACCTTGTTGCTGAATCAACATATTAAGAAAAACTCCCCCCCACCTCAATATCAATGCTTTTGGAAGTTAATACATGTTACAAATAAAGGGCTTGAAGGACATAATTTGTTTTAAAGAATACGTTTAGCATTCATCTTACATGCTTCTAGATGATTTGGCATTCTTTCAAATTTTTAAATGAGAAGATAAGTAATATTTTTTTGATTTAAAGTTTAAGGTTGGAAAGAATTAAGTTTCCTACTTCAGAGGGCTCTAGAATGTATTCTATTGGTCCAAATCAGATAAAATTTGAACATAATTCAAGATGTGCTTGACATTTAAATAAAAAATTTTAGTACAAAAATCCGCCGATAAGCAGTGCTGTAATTTACATAAAAAGCATTTAATATGCTTTATAAATGTTAAATAATATTGTAACGTTGTCAGCTATTTTTCCACGGGCTCCCACGAAGTCTGGGAAAAAGAGACTTCAAATGGGCGCCAGATGACCACCCTGATGACACTTACGAATTCTTGAGGTCGAACGTGACCCCCAACAAAGTGCGGAAAGCATATTGTTTTTACGAAAGGAGAAAACTTTCATACAAGTTCTCACGGGTTGTGGAGTGTCCATTGTGTGTATGCGATAGACTGTCGCCAACTGCCTGTTTCTCGAAATAATTTAGCTAGACCTTCCAAAAAGACGTTCTGAATTTTCCCACGGAAAATTTCAGTTTCTCAGGCTGTCAAGACAGTATCTGAGAACAAATCAGCGCCTGTTAACCAATGGAGAGATGCTCCGAAAAAGACGTTTAGCAAATCACTGCAGCAGACGCACAAGACACGCCCAGAAAACCTGGACATAAAAACAGTGAGTGAAAATAATTAGAGAGATTTTAGTCTGCAGAATACGCAGTCGTTGCGTAGAGAAGAGAGAGCCTTTCTCTTGTATTTTACGGCTCGTCCCAAGTCGCTACTAAGCTCTGTCAAGAGCGGAAAAAGAAACCCTCAAAGAAGCGTAGCCGGACTTTTTCTCCGCTACCTCTGTTTGAACTCAAGTGATTATCGTTTCCTATTGTAAACGAAATACTTTGCTAAGCAAACTACTTTGTTATGATTAAGACACAATAACACGCCGAATAAATACTAATTCAGAAGTCAAACCACAAATTTTCTATTCATTTCAGTGAGGGATTTTTCTGCTGTTTTGTGTGTACTTTATTATTGCTCAGTTAATTTAGTTTGATTTTCTGCATTGTTTATCATGCCTTCATCCGTTAATCGTTTCACTAAATTACGCCTGAAACGGCAAAAATTCCTGAATCATCTTGACTTTTTACTTAAATGTAAATGTAAAAAATTGATCCCCAATTTTATTCAAATTAAAACTACTCAAAAACTTTCGAGTCGCGTTTCAAGAATTCTGTTAAATTGCAAGCTTGCCTTACTTCGGTCCGTGATAAGGGATACACGTCAACAAATGTCCAAAGTTGAACATGAACTCTATAAGCTTCATCTGGAACTCGCTAAATCATATCCAAAATTCACTGGCCTTGAGCAAAAGTCTTGGTCTAGAACGGAGAATGCAGTTAACCGTCATAAAAACACCCTTGCAGTTAAATTCGAAAAACTTCTTTTACAGTCTTCCAGTTCAAGTAGTTCAAAAAATCTTCCCATTGTAAACATCAAGCCAATAGTTAATATTTCTAATGTTAGTCTTTCAGAAGAACAAGAGAGAATTCTAAAATATAATTTTAACTTCTCACAAACCTGTAAACCCTCGATTCCAAAGATTTTGGCTCCTATCGAAAAAGCTTTCAAGTTCAGTAAAGTTTCAGATTCACAGAAAGAAATGATTAGGCATCTTATCGCTCATAATGTGAAATTCAATAATAAACCTTTGAAACCAAATCTAACTGCGAGAGAAAGAGCTACAATGCGCGAAATTCATTCTAACCCGGATATTATCATTTCTTCAAAGGCCGACAAAGGTGGCCAGATAGTCGTCATGGATAAGAACACTTACATCGATGGTGTCACTGAACTCTTAAACGAAGGACCATATAATCCGATCCCTAAAGATCCTTCACCTTCGGACTTATCCAAAATAAAAACTGCGATCAAATCTTCGCAAATCATTTCAAGCAACTTAAACATTCGCTTATCCCATCTGTTGCGAATTGTGCCAGATTATATGCTCTTCCCAAAATTCATAAAAGTGGTATTCCTTTCCGCCCTATTGTATCAAATTTAGGTACTGCCTCGTATCCTTTAGCTAAATATTTAGGTTCTAGATTTTCCACTCTATTAGACAATAACATTTACACCATAAAAAATTCAATAGAGTTTGTAAAAAAGGTTAAAAACATTTCTCCTAGTAATTTACTCATGGTTTCTTTTGATGTAAAATCATTATTCACCAATGTCCCAGTGGAGGGTGCATTAAGATGTCTAGAAACCAGACTTCGCGAATTTCATTTCTCTTTGCATCGAAATTGATGAGCTAATTTCTCTCTACTCAACTCTGTTTGAAACAAACACATTTTTTTGTTTTCCAAAATAAATATTACAAGCAAACTGAGGGATTAGCCATGGGAAGTCCCCTCAGTCCCATCCTGGCTGATATCTACATGCATTATTATGAATCAAAATTGTTTTAAACTTTAAACTTCCCAGGCATGGTTCCGCTATGTAGACGATACTTTTACTCTGTTTGAAGGTAATAAAGATGATTTAAATAAAGTTCTTTCAACAATGAATTCTATTGATCCTGCTATTCAGTTCACTTTTGAACTTGAGACTTGCAATTCTCTTCCGTTTCTCGACATTCTGGTCACACGTAACACATCCAACTTCAGTACTACAGTTTACCGTAAACCTTCATCGGTTTGCCTTCCACCACACTTTAAATCATGTCATCCGACTAAACAAAAGTTAGCTTCATTTTATTCCTATGTTTTCCGTGCTCTTCAAGTTTGCTCCTCCAAACTAGCCCTTGATGAAGAACTAAATTATTTAAAAGCAATAGCTATTGACAGGGGCTTTTTCACCCAACATTATTAATCAAACAGTTAAAAAATTCTCATCTCAACACACTAAAAGCCACACTCTTATTTTAGGAGATTATAAAAATTCTGTTGTCATTCCCTTCTTTCCATCAATTAGCTATAAAGTTGCACATATTTTGCAGAAATTTAACTTTGGGGTTGTTTACTCTCTCCCATCAATAAAATTCCAACTTCTATACTCAAGGACCCCATTCCGGATATGAATTCCTGGGGTATTTATAGGATTCCTTGCCAGTGTGGTTTAATTTACATTGGCCAAACTAAGAGAGCCTTAAAATTTCGCGTCAAAGAACATGAGGCATATGTTAGAAAAAAGGAAAACACAGAAGTCTTCTGTTGCTCAACATTGTTTGGTCCGAAAATCACACTTTCAATTTTTCTGCTGCCAAAATTATTCAAAAAACATCTTCCATTGGAGAACTGGATTTTCTAGAGGCATTTCACATTCATAAAAATCTTTCTGTTCTAGTTAACGATCCTAATTCCAATCCAAATTTGCCTTCGGCTTTTAGAGAAATTATGTTTTAGTTCTGGTTTCGCCAACAGATGGCGCCACTTGCTTATTCTTGTCCAGGCTTTCTTTTCTTATCTAATCATTATTTCCTATCTTGTTCATTTGCGGTTTTGCAGCTGAAGATGATGGTTCGGTAAAACCATCGAAACTAGTCATGTGAAAATTTTGTAGGTATAACGCTGATTTTTGTTGTTTGACTTCTGAATTAGTACTTTGTTATGATAAGCAGTTGAACTTACCTTAAAATTCAATTTGTGAAATTTAACACTTACCTTTATTCACGCTACCAATAATAAAAACCTGACGGTTCAAAAATCGCTACAGCTAGAAGGTATGTGTTAATTGGTGGCAGCGGTGGGATCGTAAAAACCCAATAGACAAACAAAGACGTGATCGTTTTGGAGAACCGTCCCGGTTCTTATCTTCATTCAGAATCAGCCGATTCTAGCAGTGGAAAAGAATTCTTTCGCAGTAAAGTTTGGAGAGTTTAACCAGCAGCTGAAAAGGGATCATCGATGAGAAGCGTTCGTGAAGAATCAACTACTACAAAGACTAGTTCCGGAAGTGCCTGGGAAAGAGTGTGAAGTAAAATTCTCCCTCGGGTGTAAAGACAAGACATAAGAAGTCCAGACAAGAGTGAAGTGTTGTGAATTCGCGTTTGGTGTTTACCACCCTCTGTGCAGTGAAAGTGCTTTTGGTGTTTAGTGAAAGAAGAATCGCCCAGTCGACTATTGTTCAATTGGTTTCCTTCTTCGGTCATTGAATCGCGTGTGCAAATAGAAAAGAAAGGAAAGAAGAGCTGTTATTTTTTTTTGTCTGCAATGGGTAAGTTGATATGGCATTATCTTTTTAAAGAGGCATTTTAATGGAGTTTGTCTTTTGTGTATCGAAATTATATGTTTAAAT